TACTTTTAATGCAAGAATTTACCCAACTTAAAATGCCACCTTTTATCTTTACCCGTGAGTTGACGCCATTTTCAATAATGTAGCTTACTTATCACATTTTTACTATATAAAGAATGATGTCATCACCACATCTCTGTCTCACCGTACGTTTTGAAACATGACGGCACATTTAATTTAGTGGCCATACCGATATTTTTCAACAACATTTCTTTATATAAAGTTATACATTTTCAATCTGTGACGAGTGCTATACCTTGTTTATACGTTGCCCAATAAAATTAACGATGATGTTATTCACATTAGAATTGAAAGTTCATTAGTCTCATCTTTCCTGTCCACTTCTCGTATTATAATAGTTCCCATTTTCTAAATATGAAAATCGGAAAAGGGTCGTAAAAGGGTGCTGGTGAAATATCGTGAGACTTGTCGACTTATGTCTCAGGGTGTCGGGCGCAATGGCAATGCCCCTCACACCATTGTTTGTCCTGTCACTTAGTATTATAAAAAATATATCAAATGTGCGTCTATTTCATACGATATGTATTGTAGATAATCATGATCGCACGTGTCCTTAATTCAAGTTTTGCGAACAGAATATAAACTCACTGCGATAAGACCGCGCGCACGTTCCATTATTATCCTTGTAAATTATGTAAACGCCTTCCGCATCTAGTTCTCATTTCATTTTGGTATCACAATAATGAGAGTCTAGAGGTTTGTCTAATATTTTGTGTCAAAAATAATACGCTAGTTAGCCTATTCATTTCCAATGTGTAATGTGGCGAAAACCGAAAAATTCGATGCAAGAGAGACATTCGAGAAGGATATAAGAAATCTAAAGCTTCTTTGTATTAATAGTTATAACAAACTAGTGGAGTAATTTCACAAAAAAAATTGAATATCATGGTAATAAAACATTGTGATATTCAATAAACTTCAAATCTAAAGACGTTGAAAATCAAAGATCTGTAACAAATGCGTAGAGAAATTCGTCAGATCTGTTGAATCTATCTGCAGTTCTGTAGGAAGAGCGGCTGATTTAGATTGGCAAAACAGACACAGGTTCCAGTCCTGTAAGATCGTAGGAAAATTTCTTTGCGTTCGGTATAATCTAGTAATTTCACAAAAAAAAGTAAATAAATAAATATCATGTAGGTAAAGAGTAATTTTCTGATTAGTTTTCTTAACATAATTTCGGTGGTTCTCAATTCGACATCTTAATTGTATTTTTTTTGTATGTATGTTACGCGATTAGCTCGGCATTTCAGAACGGATTTTGACTTTTTTGTTTGTATTGTTTGTTTGTTTATTTTGTTGTTTGTTTGTATTGGTTCCATATAAATTTGAAGAAAATATTGCACCTGGAAAGGAAACTAGGGGATAAATCTGGTTTCGCACACTTTCCGGTAACCGATGTCAATAAAACTTGGCAAATAGATGTAATTCCATGACTTTAGGGATCGGATTTTTTTTTAATAAAAAGTTATAAATGTATTATTTACGTATTGCAGTATTATAATCGTAAAAAAAATTGCCACCGAAATTAGGTAGAGAAAACTAACCTGAAAGTTACCCTAAAACAAAATATTAATTAAACATCAAGATCACTAACCTAAAGAATTCACGATACTTATCGACATGGAATCGCACTAAGTAAGCTAGTAAGTAATAATAACAGAAAAGTCGTTTCGCGGCGACGGTTCGAGCGGAAGTTTTTTCGTGCTTATTCATGATTCCGTGTTGATAAGCGTCCCTTAATGTTAATGTATCGATTTAGTTTAAACAAAGTGAAACATGCCAAAAACCGCTTGCACGGCCTGTGATATCACGGGCCGCACCGCGCCGCCGCGCCGATTTGTGATGGCGAGAATACCCGTGCCGCCAACGGCGGTACACTTCCCACGTGAGAGCGGGCGCGACACGGCCCGAGACACCACGGGCCGTAGAACGCCAGCATTAGAAAGAGAAGATTTTTAAATTACAAAGTGGTCTTTGTATTTAAAAATCTTACGGCCAAGGATAGCCAACATGGGCAAAAACACATTATTACGTTTTTTATTACTGTGCGAATGAGAGGACAGAGAAGTTAGTTACATTTCCTGATCGCACCTTACCGGCCAAGGTTGCACGTTCCCATGAAAAATCATTTACTTAGAGTCAGAATAATGTCTCAGTAATCTCAGACGACCTGATTCGAATGTCACCTGTGTTTTCACCGTCAGGCTGACTTGCGTTGTAATTTTCTATAGTACTTGTATTTTTAGGTACAGAACCTAAAAACACGTTAAGTTAATTCCAATTGCAATTAGTTCCACTTACACGAGTGGATGTGTTAGTGCCTCAAGCAGGAAGTGACTACGTCTGCATGTTCAAGGTCATGAATAATAATGGAGACCATTTCTTGTGGGAGCCATCTAATAGCAGTTGAACTTTAGCTTATAATTAGACGACCGTCGACGTCGCTAAGCTAAGGAAACTGTATTTTTTTTCTAAGTACTTGTATGTTAATGTTAGTTAGTACTACACATTTAAGAGTTCTAGGAAAAGTTATGTATATGTATATCGGTAATTTTCAGGTTAGTCTTCTCTACCTAATTTCGGTGGCATTTCTTAGTATTAAAATATTCTAGAATATTATCATTAAGTATTACTTAATATTCAAGTGTACTATTCTGAAATATTATATAATAATTCACGATGACTCGAATATTTAAATAATAAAAATTGCCACCGAAATTAGGTAGCGAAAACTAACCTCAAATGGCAATAAAAGTTACTGCCATTTATAAATAAAATGATGAATTTTAATTCGAGAACGTTAACAAGCTTTATTGTTATTGTGCTCTAAATAGTTTCGATGCATAACTGGATTACATAGACATAAGACCGGTTTAGTAGAGACATTACCCTATATGCTTTGGCTTAGCGACATTTTAAAACAACTCTATCTTTGTTCGAAGATTCAAATTACATATCCAGGAAATGTGGTCACATCGTGGACGGGAGTTGTGGTGCGAGGGTGGAGGACAGGTGGTCAGACAGGTGGAGGCAACATGTGCCGGATATGTCGACAAAAAGATGTTGAGGCAATCTTCGAGAGACGCAGATGATAATACAACTTTTCGGATTAAAGTGAATTAGATCGAATATCATAGACAGGCGATTGCGTTACACCATGATTCGTAAATCTAAGAATCATTGATTCAAGGAAATAAAAATAAATCAGTATCTATAACTGTAATTAGATTCGCAGCAACAACAATATTGCGTGACGGACTTTCGATAAAATCTTACAAACAGAAGCTACTTCGCACATTTCTAAGACGTCTTAGTTGTAATTGTCATACTCACAAATGTACGGCGTTAAATTGAAAAGGTAAGAGAAAGAAATGCGCCCAACTGTTGTAGAAATCGCAATAGTGTGCGGGCGAAACGAAGTGAAACGGCTCTACATGGGCACAAAGCATATCGACCGTCAAATTAATTTCAAGTACAGACAGCGGCGATGTGTGATGAATGAATTGAGTGACGTGTTTTAGCAGCAGCTAACAACGGGGCTCACGTGGTCACACATTCAATGCTAAATAGCGAACACGTACAAAACTAATCACGAACTTAATAGATATTGCTAAAAAGCGGTCCCAGGATTTAATAGCTCTTGCTAAAGCATGAAGCCAAGATATGATAGAGAATTATTTAATATATTTCATAGCTACCTCTAAGGCATCATGAACTTGGACATGGGACCGTTACGTAACACGAACATAATTACAACGAATTCAATTACGATGTTCATTATTTAACAGTACCTAGCGGTTATTCATGTTGATTACGAAATATAATCTTTAAAAACCGCGGAAACAGTGAGTGACTAGCACTTTTTTGATACCAAACTAGCTTTCAGAAACGAGGAAAAACCTTGAGGTAACATATACACAAGTACAGGAACTACGTTGAGGCAAAAATTACAAGTAACATCGCTGTCAGTCATTATATTTTACATCATGTTACGATGCATGTGCCAATGATGCTCTGGAAGGTCAGCATCACGTTATTTACCTCTACTCATTAAAATGCTTACGTAACCCGGCATTATTAACATCTTAAATACCGTATTATCTTAATCATAATGATAAAATGACATATTTCAGAAGTCATTGTCGAAACTACGAGTCCTAGACTCCGATAAGATAAAATAATATTGTAATTATTTAGCGTTTATATTATCGAAAAGTCTGACTCCACGTTTCCACGAATGATCGCGGTGATCATTCAAAGGTATGTCGTAAATGTAAGTTATAAAAAGGATATTTGCGATAACGGCATGGAAAAATATAACGTAAAATTTTCATATCACTATTTCGTCGCTCAACGACTAAAACGTATTTGAAAGAGAGCCGTATATTGGCGAAACAGGAAAGGATCCCGTCTCTTTCTTGCAGACGCGTGGGATAGGGATGGGGAATAAAAAGACGGTTACAACCGTTTGCACGATGGAAAATAAATAATAAAAAGTGAGCTGGACCCTATGTTGGTCGGTGCTTATGGAAAGATGACATCACTTTGAATTATGGTTTGAGTAAATACCAAGAGTCATATGAGAACAAAACTAATATATTCTGTTGACGAAACGTTCAGCGATGATGAAGTCGACTTTGGAATCTGTTGCGTTGCTAGGCTGTCTTACGCGTTTACAAATTTTTTTAATACGATAAATGGATAGACTTATTTCATTACCGATTCCTTTTATATATTAACAACTTTGAGTTATGTAAGTGGAAAGTGAGGTTCATAGATTTATTTCAACTTTGCTTGCAAATCGAATAGTGCACAAATCTGAAGGACCACTAAACCTGCCAGGTACTCTTTCTTTCAAAGAGAAACAATATCTAGACCAGAAAGTTTTTTTATTAAATAAATTATTAATTTTTATTTAAAAGAACTGAAGTCGTCCTTTGACCTACAGGCGTAAAGTCGAGCCTTGATTATGTAATACGTACCTGTTTTCCTCCGGCAACCATGATGGCGGATTATTTGAACACAGGCACTAGTAAAATGTCACTAACACAAGCACTAAGTTTTGTAGATATTTTGGGGTAGGGGTTAGGCGGCACTGTAGCCGCGTCTGCCGGACGCGGCGGTAGAGTTCAAACTGAACGGTTCGTGGCGCGGGGATGCGCCCGCGCCGCCCTGGCTTCAAGGCCGCGCCGAGTAGCCGCCGGTGCGCGAACACCTTATTCACGGAGCCTCCGATTGAAACGCGGTTGATACACACTGTTCGTGCGAATGCGTAGGTGACTTTCGATTATACGTTTGTAACTAATAACATATCTTAATTTGAGATTGAATGCAGAAGCTACAATGTTCAACCGTACTACTGACAATGTGCTCAACGGAAAGTAAGTCATACAGGAAGTACTACAGAAAAATTACGTCAACTCTACCAGATTAACAATTTATTGTGCATGTGTAAAACCGCGGGTGAAATCATGGGATTACGTCAAACTAAACTTGGGAGGTGTACTCATATTTAGTAGAACTAGTCGAGCTACAATATTCAATATTCCGCCTACAAGCATTTTTTCAGGCGCACCTAATTCAAATAGTGGTGTAATAGAGCCTGGAAGGCTTGCTGCCAGCTGGCATGCGGGCATGATTAGCAAAATTTCAATTAACATGTTTGGATACGATGACACGAACTATGTACGTAAATACGTAGGATATAGTTTTCTCACACTGGGTTTATTATAGTAATGCCTGGTACAAACATTATACCACATTTATTTGTGTGGATGAACTCTATTACAATGAATATTATATATTTGCAAACATGACAAAAAGTCATCCTTTAATTGGAAGGCAAAAGCAAAATAAATCTTATAGAATTATTCCGTTTAAAGAGGTACCCCATGTATCTAAATGTAAAGGATTATAACACAAATTTAAAGACCATAAACATCATGTACTCGTATGTATAATAATTATTGAAATATTTTTTTTTTCAGCTTTGTAAGTCGTACGATGCGATAGTAATGACAAAACAAACTAGATCTCACGAAAGTTTGCACATGAAATGATTTAGTAAAACTATGTCACTTATTGAAACTGAAGTCCTGCAAAACCCAGAAACGTGCCCAGTATGCAAGTATCATATACGCCAGTGATATACTGGGTGCAGTGTCCACTAACTAGATAAAGCGTGTCCTACTTTCCGCTTCCTTCCTCACTCGCGTAAAGAATGCCGTTTGCTTTGACTTAGACAATTATTCTATCAGATATGATAAATGTCGTAGCCCTGTTGTTTCTTTTCATTACTTTATGTAGTCAAATATAGGTTTGCCGCTTTTCTATTCTTACAAAATGTCGATAAGATTGCTTTCAAAAGATTAGCTTTTTTGTCGTAATGCCGACTAGGTTTTAAAATTTTCTAGGATGAAAAAAATCACATAAAACAGTGGATATTTATGACTTTATATAAATAATGCTCATAAAGGTGTCAAATATTCTACAAGGACGAAATCATTGCACAAAATAATGTGTACAGTGTCATTGTAGCACTGAAATATCGCAGAGAAAAACAGTGAATAAAATGAAAAGGGCACAACAAAACCCACACAATCATGCTAACAATGGATGGAGTAACTTGTCATTACCATTCAGGCAAAATAACAATACGTACCTGATAAGTAATACAAGTAGTAAGCGATTAAGTTTAGTGATGGAACATATTGCGTAGAATAGCAACATAAAAGAAAATCCAGGAAAAAGAATCTATATTGAGAAATCCAACATCTTCTTATGCCCACAGCATAACAAGCTAAAATGTGTGTGTATGCTGGTATAGTACTATTATTTATCATGGTAGACAACAGTATACGAAACCAACAAAAGTCTAGCTTTAAGTTTAACATCGAGAAAGGACAGTGTTTCACATGTAGGTCATATTTCTGCACTAAAAACATTGTTCTAAACTACTCAAATATTCATCAAACCAATGCTACTCCAAAATGACATTACGATAAATAATATTCTAACTATTTTTAAAGGCTTTTTGTTTTGTGGTATGTGTATTACATGTAATATTTGTAACAAGTAAAATTATCAACATTAGCAAGTAATAAGGATTTTATGAGTTAAAATACATACTTAAAGTTATTAGGGTAAAACAAGTACTAAAATCATATTGTTAGCTTACAGATAAGCATCTCAACTGGAAGTAAATAACAAGCTAACAAAAACCAAAATAGTTTGGAAAAAACAAACTAAACAAAAAAATAAAGTTCTTTGTCAAACTGTCACACTGGAACTAACCAGGGAATTCTCATTGTTGCTTAGATCTAGAACGTTGCTTAAATAGCCGAGTATCTGTAAAATAAAATAAAAGAAGGGCATGCTTCAATACTAATACTTAATAAAAGTTTATGGTAAAGGAATAGTAAAGAACATATTGGTTTTAGAAGCAACATAAAGCTAATTTAATAAAATATATATGTATAAGGTCCACTTTAAAAAAACCAACTAGGTATTAGAAAACTGAATATAGAATAAATAATACATAGACAAAAGAAAAAGTTCACAAAATTACCCTATTTTTAGCTTCACTGTAGTAAAGTAAAAAGAACAATTTAAAAAGTTGTTAGGAGAAAAAGCTATAATATTTAAATGAATGAGTTACAGGGTTATCTAACTATGCTGATAAACATTCCATGGATCCGTCTGCTGCGGACATATTGTGCATAAGTGTTCAAATAAGTACAGTCAAGACTCAAGAGTCAAGTCAATCAGTGTTGCAAGAATTATGTTTTTTAATTTGTAGGTAAAATTAAGGTGCTTTACCTACACTGAAACCAAAACAACACTGAACCAAATATGTATTAAGTGTGAAAGTTATAGGTAAGGTTAGAAACTTTACCTACATTTTGACACATAGGAGGGTTTTCAGTTGTATTGACACTTGATACACAGAACACATGATCACTTAATGTAAAAATAGACTTTTCACGTAATATACTTTTGAATGCAGATGGTAATATTAAGTAATTATGCAACATTATACTAATGAAGCATTATAAACGGTTTGGCATCAAATTGACGCATGGAAAACAAGAATAGCCAGATAATATTAATGGTAAAATATTGTTTTTTAAATCAGTAGGAAATTAGTACCAATGTCAATGCCATTCAGGATGTGATAAGAAACGTAGCATAGGTCAATATAACAAAGCTTGATGTTTTCATGTTTTTATAATTAAATCTATCTAGTTAGATGAAATAGTGTCTTCTTATAATTTTTAATTGTACATATGAAATAAATAACATGATATTTCACAAAATTTGAATAATATGGATTTAGGAAAATGAAACCATGGTTCAGACTTGTCAGTTCAACAAATTAATCTATATTTTAGCAGAAGTAAGGTCTAATCATATATTATTTTACATGTTGGTTATCTACTTAACGCAACAAAGTCAAACATTATCTCAATCTTATCATCTACTCTTAAAATGATAACCTATAATTTTAACCAAGATGTTAAGATCATTTTATCACACTCTCCAACAAATACTTTTACTTTCCATCAAAGTACTTGGAAGTCAAAGTTATTGTAGAACTTATTGTAGTTATTGAGACAATATTATGAGATACCAGCTTTTTGTTACATCGGAGATAATAAACATAATATAGTATCAATAAGCTTTATGCTTGATAAATGATCGTTCTGTCGTTTGAACGTATCGCCGTAGTGAAATCAGTAAAAACACGCAAGAAGGGAGGTAGTACTCCATTTACCTTATGTACACTTGTAACCTATCTCACGTGGATATAAAACACAAACACGATCGCTACTCACCGATTTCGGCATTTTGGCGGCTTAGGATCTCTATCTGCAACCATAAAACACACATGTGAGAAAAATCAGCCACGGAAATTCCAGTATTAGCAAGCTGAATTGACAAGTACCTTGCCGCGTGACATTTATGTTGGAATTCTGAATAAACCAGTGGTTATGTACAATGAAAACGTAGACTAAACCGAGTATTACTCATAACGCTATGCATTTTCTCACAAAATACTTATATACGTTCGATGACAATAAAATTACAGTCGCCGGCGGGCGGCTAAATGCACATAGAAACTCTGGTAGGAATTCAGGGCAAGTTAACAGGAATTTGAAAGTGGGGTTTTTAACAATTCTGGAAATGGAGAGTTACACGAAACTTACCCAGTAAAACAAGAAATATCACCTAATAATCCACATAAGTAGCACAACACAAATACAGACTGCACACACCCTAAAAAGAGCCACAAAAATATCGCGATGTGACAACTGCCTGCGTGACGTGGTAGCTGGGGATGCAACGCATGGGTCTCATTTTCTACCGAATAGGTTATTTCCTTTGTAAACCTTCAGACATTCGTATTCAGTATGATTGAAGGCTAATTTCTTTAAATAATTGATCTGTTTTAATATCTGATTCATTTTCTGTGATAATTGTCGCGGTTCAAGCGACTTGTACCACCTTATTCATATTATTCAAATATTAAAAACGAAGTACTAAAATTCAATAATATTTAAGCTATTTTTTGTTGCTTCTGTGGAATAGTCAATACTATTTTTATCTTGTTTCTATGTTCTACCATTTCAGTTAACTTATTTTTAAATGGCAATGTACATTGTTCGAATACGCGCCTCACGTTTGGATAATTATAATTGTGAACCACCAAGTACGTTGCAATTTCTGAACGTCATTTTTCTGAACGAAAATACGTTAATGTCAATGTCAAACATTGCTACATTGTAAATCGGTCGTTCAGTATTTTTATTGTTTATTTCGGGATTCGTCGTGTTAAAATGTATTGTATAAAGTGAAACGTAGTTATTGAATTTAATTGACATAATTTTTAGTATCATAGTAGTTCTATTAGTTATAAGTTTTTAAAATGGGTGCAAGTCCGTTTCGCCGCCTGCTTCACTGGGGGCCAATCGCAGTTTTATGTAAGTTATTAGTATTATCAACATGTATTATAGTGTTAATTCTTACAAAATAATGTGAAGCTAATTTTAAACTGCTACATTGTTGCTGCAGGATTTGCTTTTTATCTAACGGAGTTTTTTCTTTGCATATTTTAGGTATAATAAAATTAATAACATGGGCGATGGTACACGTTATTGGCATGTGGTGGCCGCCCCGGACCTCTATAGCCGCGATGACACATTCCGCCGTCTTTTTGAGCATGGCCTCTGTAACCTTATATTATTTCCTCGATTCTTTACTAGAAGGGCCTGGGTTTGTGCCTCTTGGATGGAAACCAGTAAGTTTAATATTATATTTATATTGTAGATCATAACTAGGAAAATTATGATTAAAGACAATCTTCAGTGAGAATAGATTCACGTTTTATTATAGGTCCATAAAACAACTATTTGTACTTACTAAGAAAGCGTTTTCAAAAATCGCACTGTCACAGTTGTTCAATTAAAAATCTTATAATATAATTTTGTAACTTGACAATATTTAACCCTAATTTGGACTTGCACTGCTCTACTGTAACTTATTTTTTGCTTGCAGGATAGTGAAGAGGACACTAAATATTTACAGTTCTGCACAGTTTGCAAAGGATTCAAAGCACCTAGGTCACACCACTGCAGAAAATGTAATTGTTGAAATACATATTTTCAAAAATAACAAAATACAGCACACTCATCTATTTGCACTTTAGAGCATTCTTATTATAAGTGGCATAATTTTGTATTTAAATATTAAATATAAGGTTGGGCAGGTTGTTGCCCATTTTCTGTTTAACCATTTTTTAAATTATTATACTTTTTAATTATTATGTTTTTAAATGTTTTTGTTACTTATTTTAGCTGAATATGAATATGTATAATGATTTAGTAATTGTATATAGCTTGATAAATTTTCATGGAATTGCTAGGACCTTTGATGCTCCTGAAATGCACAGTAATGCCTGTATAACTGATAGCCACGGGTGCCTCGCTTATATGAAAATTAAGTGAACTAATTTCAAAACATATACTGTTCATTTAATATAATCTTTATTTACCAATTTAACTTCATATAACTTGTTTGATATAACATTAACATTTTATTAAAAATGATTTCATTTTACATACAGCTCATATTGTATAACAATAATTTCTTATATTGTCAATTTAAACAATTCTTACATGGTATAATATAACTTTCTATAAATAATAAGCTTAAGTCTGACTTTCCGCGGCCTTGTCTATTCAATACTAGGAGTGTATTTTCAAAAGCTGGAGGTGCAGAGGGAGAGTTGTTTTCCTTAATATAGTTTGCAATGCTGAATCTTCATTTCGACAATATTATTATTGTTAGACACTGGATTCTTTGGTAGTTTAAAAACAATCAAACATATTTTACATAGGTCAAATCTTGGTTGCAGGTCCCATTCAGACGGTTAGGTTAGAACATGAAAAAGCAGAAACTAATTTGTTTGTGTTTCTGAACATATTTTCAAGCCAAAATAATTCATGTAATATTAGTATTAGGGATATCGTTTTTCGGAAATAATCCTATTTCTAGATGAAATGAAATTTAGATAATGAAATTTTGTTAACGGTGGTTTATAATTTATCATTATTAAAAATGAGTTATAATAAGTGATCATTATACAGGCTGTATATTTGAAAGTGAGACATACTTATAGAGTGCATTATATTCCTGATTCTGAACACAAAAAATAATAAACTAATGAACTTAAACTTCACAAAAAAATATTTTTTTATTTTTTTTATCGACTACTACTTGTGAACAACATTACTTATCGAAATCTATGCCCACCACTATTATTGCTCCGAAAGACGCAGCGGCGCTGGTCGGCACTGTTTGCAGAGACAGTGCACGCGCGACCTTTGCCTAGCGAAGACACGTAAATTATTTGTACTTCCGCTCGCCCGAACACTGTGCCGGCGGCGAACGCGCCTCTCGCCTGCAAAATGGATATTTATTCTAACGTCGAATTGACTGAGATGGTGCGACTTTACGCAATAAGTGGTGACAGTGTGAGGCGAGCTATTGAAATGTTCCCAAATTGGAGTTGAAATGTTCCCAAATTGGAGTTTACGCGGAGGAGGTGAACAGTGTCGAAGTTGTTGCATGAGAGGATTATCTCAGCATTTTATACTGTGAGACAAATTGTGTTCGTGTTGATCAATTTAAAAAAAAATGTACTACGACGTGCTAGACTATGCATTGTGGAAAACGGTGCACATTTTGAACACTTGCTCCGTACCACGTAAGTGTAAATAAACTGTAAATAACTAAAAAATCAATCATTGTAAATAATTTGATTTCACATTTTTAACTACGCCAAAAACCTCAATTCTTATTAAATGATAACTTAATTATCTTTTTTAGTATGTAAAACATTTCGATGATAGTTCATAAGAAAAAAATAATTAACATAAGCTAAAACGTAAAATTTTCGATAGTAGCTTTTTCATCATAACATAAATGAATAGGTGAGAGAGAGATGTGAAATCATTGTTATTGTTGCTGTCTCACTCGGCACTCGCTTGGTGGTATTCCCAATGCACTCGAAATCAAGCGTAAAGGGAATAGTTTCATTCCTATGTACACTCTAAAACAAATTTGTTGATTTATTTTTTGGTCTATCCCATATCCTAATTTTATTCTAGTTGATGTCAAGTTGTAACATGATTTACTATGACATCCATGAATATGTCTCACTTTCAAATATACAGCCTGTATATTTAATTTGTTAAATTATAGCATGTAAGCTTTTGTTAAACATTCGTTATATGAAGTAAATTACTATATTAAATGAGTTTATAATAAGTATCATTATGTTATGCCTATTGACATTTATGTGAATAATATTTATATGACACACTACACAAATTACACATTAAAAAAAAAATAATTGATTAGTAAGTAATTTTAAATGATAAATAATTCGACATATATCAGTATGATCCATATACAATACAAACCAATTAGATCCTCTGTTGAGCTGATCCACTTTTGAATAGGTATCATCAGCACTGCTGTATGCCTAAGTCTAAGCATCATAAAATATGCAAGAAAGTTTAAAGTTATGCATGAAAATCCCAGTGATCAGTGTTATTAGTTAATCAAACAAACTAATGTATTATTTACAGGTGGTCGATGTGTAAAAAAGATGGATCATCACTGCCCATGGATCAACTGCTGTGTGGGCCACAACAATCATGGATTCTTTACTCTTTTTCTCATATATGCAGTAGCTGGATGTCTACATGCGTCTATTGTAAGTATATTTTTAATTAATGTGGTTTATTTGTTACAATGGTATGATCCGCACTGTCAGTAACAACAATTTTATAATCGTTTTCTAACTTTTTTTTACTAAGTGATGTAACGAACAAGTCGTGCGCCTGATGGTAAACGACACGCCTGTCCATAACAGTTGGAGTGCCACTCAATGCTTTAAATCGCAAAGATCTGAGGTCCACTGCCTCTGCGCCGTGTACCCTGAGTAGATACGAGCGCCGATAATAGACCAGCCGGCGGCGGCACGCCGACGTAGAAGTGTCGACGGCGGCGGCGTTTCGGCGGCGCGAGCGCGACCCTTAAACGAATTTGTATATCGGTGTTTGTTTTTACAAAAGCCGTTATACAATTTTTCAAAGGAAAAAATAAAATAACGTGTTTCTATAGTAATCAAATTTTTATCAGTTCGATCAGGCGCTCCAATCGTACGCACGCGCACGCTTCCGTATTGTGTATGCGTAGTGAAAATGGCGACGCCAGAAATTGCCAAATTAATTTTTTAAACAAACATAGCACACAGTTACGTAGGACTAGTGCTGGAATTCCATCTGGCCGACTAGCTTTATTCACGTCTAGAGTTCTAAGTATCTCTTTTTGGCGTAAGATGAGATGCCGACGCGAACTCTTTGCAAACTGATAACAACACACTTGTAGATAGGTACTTGACCAATGCAAGGGTTAGTGGAGAGGAAACCTAGTCTTGTCGAGAGTCCATGGTTAGCCGTTTGGATTTGACACTCAAGGCAGTTTCTGATTGGGGCGATGCCAATTTTGTTAAATTAACGCTACCAAAACGCAGACGTGCCTATTCTCCACAAAACGGAGTCCCTTTGAGCTGACTCCGACTTTTCGTGATAAATTCATACCGATAGCCGACTGTCTCCAGCTACTTGGAATGGACCTGTCGTCCACATTGAATCCATGGCCAAACATGCAGCAAGGAAGCTTGGGATCCTTTCAGGGTGAGGTTTACTTCACATCGGGACAGTTGCTTCAGCTGTACCAAGCACAAATCCAGTCGTGCATGGAGTACTGCTACCACCGTTAGGATGGTTCTGCTACATACCAACTGGGCCACCTTGGATTCCATTGACAACCGTGCCAAGAAGCTTATAGTTGACTCTGAATTGGTGGAGTTGCAGGCTTATCGGTATTTGTGGCGAACGGTGCGATAATAAAATGTTGCTGTTGGTATCATGTCAAACAGTTTTTCAGAACATTGGCCATTGTACTAGCGATTGAACAGGCATAGGGAGGCAAAGTCTCTCCTCCAAGACAGTGGTTCAATATCGTCAGTAAGCACAGGATCGTCAACAATTCTCATAGCACGTCTTTGAACCGCGTCAAAGGACCCAAGCTGGCATCCAGGAGCTCTCGCCCAAAGATGGCAGTAGTATTCCATGTCCCCACATGGACTTGTGACTTATAAAGTAGCAGTCTCTGCTCGGAAGTGACATAGCGCCTAGCCCTGTTGAGCACACCAAGCTTTTTGGACGCCAGCTTGACTTTGCCTTCTAAGTGACTACGGAACTGAACGTCACAAGAGATGTTGACACCAAGGATCCCGATGCTCTTCGAGATATTTAATGGCTTGTTCTGGAACTGAAGGTCTGCAGCAAATGGAGTCTTTTTAGCGGTGAACGTGCAAACTTGTGTCTTGGTGGGGTTAAATTGGACTAGCTTAGTCGACAGAAACCCTCTAGGTTTTTTTCTGTTTGTGGCACAAGTTGTTTACGGCTCTCCTCTACGAAAGACCAAGGGGACTTAGCATGGCCAGTGTAGTAGGTGTCCACCGTAAGTCAACCGAGGTCAAATGTGAACTTATATTTTATAAAAAAAAATATCTTTGAAAACTCATTTTCTGGGGTCGCCATTTTCACATATACAAGACGGAAGCGTGCGCGTGCGTACGATCGAAGCGCCTGATCGAACTGAACGGCGCGCGTCGATTGCATTTGTCGGCGGCGGCGGCGCGCCGGCGCGGCGCTCATGTCTAGCCCTGAGACATAAGTTACACGTGCCTGTAATTTCACCAGCACCCTTACCCTTCAAAAACGGAATGCAGTAATGCTCACATTATTGCTTGGCGGCAGAAATAGCTAAGGTACTTCCCTAGACGAACTCTTTCACAAGGATCTCTATTGCTACTAAAAACTTGAATTAAAGAAAATAAATCAACCGGTATTTTCTTACAGCTAAAAGTTAAAAGATTAAATTGAATCTTGTTTTGACTCTTGTACTTGTCCTTTTTTGTGTATAAATACGCTTTTAGGTACTAATGTTACTAAAATACGAGTCAAGAGGGATAGAAAATGAATAATGTCATCAACTAGCTTTAACATTATTATTTTAATGGAACACAAAAGCATAGTTGAACAGTTAACGTTTTGCTCTTTCACCAGGTCCTCATAATATGCGTATACCATGCCCTAAACCGCGTCTGGTACGTGCATCATGGTACAGGCGAAGAACCTATGATACACCTTACACTCACCACATTGCTGTTGATACTGTTAGCCATTGGCATGGCTGTGGGTGTCGTTCTTGCCGTTAGCGTTCTGCTTTACTTCCAGGTATGTTGATCTAGAAAACGTCGATTCACGTAAACCAGTGATACATATTGTATCTTCATTATCAGTAAGAAAAAGACATAAGATTTATTTTCAGAGCAGCCAAATTTAACTCCGCTCGTTTAGTTAACACATAGTTGACCAAAGTGGTCTATATCTCTCTAGTGGGCGCTGAAAAGTCCTAGGGCGGTAGGGGTCTCGGATGCAATTGGGCGAGGGAACGTCGATGTTGCCCAGGGGATGCTACCGCATTTGAAAAGTAACCTGCTCCTGTAGCATGGATAAGCGCGCGCTATTGGCTATCTAAATTAGATCTGATTGAGACAGCCAATAGCGCGCGCTTATTTCAATTTTATCGCGCGCAACTAACACGCGTAGCCATGCTACGGATGCTGAATTATCTATATAAACTACAGTGTATATGTATAATTCTTTTCCTTGTGATTTTTTGTGTTAAGTTAATGTAAAAAATACGTGTTTTCAATTATTGTTTGTGGTAGTGGGCGTTGAAATTTATTTATCACTCCTAAGTTTGCGTTGAGCCAAGAAGTTTGGGAACCTGTAGTTAACAGCACAAAATTGGACTGTTTTCTGACTTCAATTAATTCATCTCCACACTGACTTAAAAGTACCTAAGTTAGATCGTGTTAGCGGGCAGTATGTTAACAAATTATCTATAGACTGGAAATCTAAATAAGTTGTCATCTTAACCAGTTAACAAAGAACATTCTTTGCCATGCCGCCAAACGCTTACGTTAAAGGTGTTCGATTACATCGGACATAGTCCCGGAGACAAAATGTGCCCTAAGGGTGTAAATGTATAGGGTGCATCCATCCATGTTTACAAAAAATGTAAAACGGTGTGTAAAACTTTGAATGTTCCTAAGTTATACCAATTTCCTAAGAATTAAAAGTTTTGATTTTAAGGACATGCATTTTCTATTCAGTGTACTTAATTATCGTCATCTCAATATTAATGAAATTGTGTGTTGGTAGTTGCGAGGTATCGCCCAAAATAAAACGACAATAGAAGAATGGATAATGGAGAAAGCTGTTGGAAGACGACTGGAGCTGGGTCTACCTCCTTTCATATACCCGTACGACCTTGGTTGGAAAAAGAACTTCAAATTTATGATGTTTGACACGCAGTGTGACGGCCTGCGGTGGCCTGTTAGGGATGGCTGTGGGCAATACGATTTAACAGTAAGTACTGGATTTTATAATCATTTTTCTTTTTGTTAACAGTACATCCTACAGTATTATACATACGGTAAAAAGTATCACGAACTTAATATACCACTATTTACATATAAAAAAAAACAAATTTTCACTTCTCATGTCCTAAAAGTATGTCAATGCAGTCTTACGTAGCGGGAGAAAAGTGCATCATTTAATTTAATCCCTGGGGAGTAAAAAGTACGTAGTTTCTAATTTACTTCGAGTGACCTAGACAAAGTCAAACAGCCTGTACTTGCGTTTGTGCCAAAAGGCTTACCTTTTGAACTTATTGAACTCAAGTCCAATAAGTTAAAAAAAACTATTATGCGGAAAGTCAATAAAAAACAGCTTGTGTGTGGACCATTTTCATTACGAACATCTTATACGTTTTAAGACTACGCTCGGTTTCCGCATAGATGGTGGCACCATATTATTTTCCTGCGATAGTGCTTTTGTATGTTGCGTAATGACCATTTTAGTGGCGCGAAAGTTGCATTTAAATCGTTCGAAAGATGCACATGATTGCCAAAGACCGCTAATCGTGGCGTATGTTGTATCTGTGTTTGGTTGAAAAAAGAATTTCGCGAAAGCTTCAGACTTTTGGTTCGTGTTTTTGTTGTAGAGCGTAAACGTAAAATTGAAATTATTTTTTTTTCCTCGCAATCGACTAAAAGCCAATATAAACCCTCGGAGTAATAGACCTCGTTAAAGCTCGGGTGGCTAACCACATCGGTTATATATTGGCTCGTTTTAGTCCCTCGATAAAAATATACTAATATTTAACAACAATAATTGTAATGTATAAACAGGGGTCCAGATTCTCGGCAAGTCTTAAGTCGAAATTTGATATCCAAGGGTCATTTATAAAATACTAACTCTTACATAACTATGAAAAACTCATACATAACTATGGACGAAAATAAAATGCAGCAATGCATTGCATACAGCAAAGAACAATATATTTGCGTGGCAAACCAACCTATCTATAACATACACGACAAAAATGCGCCATGCGAAGCAAACGTATTCAATCAACAAACGTCACACTCATGTGTCATCGATGACGTAGAATGCAAAGAGACGTGGACAAAACTGCATAGACCGAACATATGGTTATTTACGTTATGCAACAAACAACTAATACGAGTCATATGCGAGGATCAAGTTACGTCCGTGGCCTTGTTAGGGACCGGACTTATATCACTGAAACCAAAGTGCATTCTACAAAAAACAGATGCAACTATTTATGCATTTAACCACTTTGGTAATCAAATACAGATGGGAGTGGATATAGATGTACCTACTATAAACTCCTCAATTAACAACTTGTTCAACTTCAACTGGAACAATGCTGAGTTAAATGTGACCACACTCAAACCTGCACCTACCTTGGACTTCAATAAAATAGAACAGCAACTAACGTACCAGAAAGAACACGAGAAGTTACCTATGACGTCACATTTATCTGTTCATGACGTTTACTTGTACTCAGTCACTACTTTGTTGTTGGGAGGAATATTTGCAGTAGCCCTCTCAGTTTATATAAGAAAAAGATGTATGAAAAGAAAAGACAGTACCTCTTCGTCCAGAAACTACACTAGACCTATCAAGACCACGGAACCAGATATCGAGTTGCAAGAAATATGCAATCCGACACCAGATGAACCAGTTTATAGCGAAGTGAAGACGAAACGAACGGCATTTCGTTTTGACTAATAATAACTTTTAATATGATTATATTTTTGCTATGTGCTGGATGCTCATATGACTGAAACTTTTACCTTTTTTACTTACTTATACAATTGCTTTATTTTTACTTACTTATACACTTACTTTATCTTTACTTATACCTAAATACTTTCACTACTTACTTTTCACCTTTCCCTCGGGAGCATGTACGGGTCACGTACAAGATTTAGACGCTGAGTTTGCGCCCTACTTTACGTGAATCGACTGATTCACTTTTTATTATAATTTAGTTGATTTAATAACTCTGTCGCAATCGGTCACATAAGCATCCATATAATAACTTGTATTTAAACAAAAATAAAACTTTACGATTGTACGTCAACTCTATAACTTAACTAACTACAAACTACAACTAACTACAACTAACTTAACTACCTACAATCAAGACGTCAAAGCCCATACAAACCTCACAGAACTATTATTACTAACATCATTAATAACAACTTTTGTTCCATGACATTTTACTAAACAGAATTAAATTAAACTCACCAAAAATAAAATAAATAAAAATAAAATAAAATCGTCTTTATTGTATTTATATATTTATTATTACGTGCACAATACTTAAATTACAAACATTAAACAAAGAAGAAATATAAAAAAAAAAACTTTAAGTTTTTGTTGTACTATGTGACACTTTTTAGATCTGTATTTAGTAGTAACATACTAAAGTTCAAACGTGCAAATGTGCTCCCCAACCACCCCCACCACCGCTCCTGCGTTTTGCACAGAGTTATTACCGTTTGGAGTGATCTATTTAAATATTTTTATTTTTGTACGAGAGTAAAATCTGATGAATTAATAATCATGTAACAAAAGTCAGTAGTCATGGAACAAAAGTTGTTGCTTATTATGTTAGTTAGGTTGTCAGTTTTTTATAAATGACCCTGTATATTAAGTTTTTATTGAATACCACGATGTTTTACTAGTAATGATATTCAATTATTTTTGTGAAATTACTCCACTAGTTTGTTGTGATTCAATTTATGTGATTTAATTTAATTCAGCTTCGGTATGGCGAAGTTGCTGGTTTCGTCCAGTTGGTTCGAAATAATTTTTATTTTCGTTTTGTTTCCGTTCGATCTTTGTTGCGAACCGGTCTTATACCCGCTCGGCACGAGACGCGGGTGAGGACGAGACGGCTAGCATGACGTCACGGCGAGCGGCAGCGGCGCAGGGGCACTTGCTTTATCGATAGCCACCGCCGACGGTCGATCCCTATACATTTATTTATATAAACCAGGATAGTTGTATCATTGAGACGGCGAATATACCGGTCCTATTGTAAATATAGTCCACTTTTATTTCAAGTCCATTAGGACCCTAACAAACTTTGTATTAATAATTTGACTGCCTCCGTAGAGGTCTCAGGTTCGAATCCCGGGCTGGGAGAAATATTTGCATGGTCTACATTTATTTCTCTCGTGAGTTTGGGTGTAATTTGTGGTTGGTCTATGTGTGTGTTCATGGCACCCGTGACACAGGGTTTTTTGTGCGGGGCTATGTTGAGTGTGTACGTTATTATTATTATTATTAATTATAACCCTTGTACATGTTATCTGTTAGTCGGAGTTCGTCAGCCTTTGATAAAATGAGTCCAAAGTTTTATTAAACTGTTTTGAAACACTCTTAATTGCTTCATATCTCTTCAGATAGAACAAGTAGCACAAAAAGAAGACAAGCGTCTCCGGTCTCGGCTATATACTGCGACGAAGGAGTACTCAGGGCGGTGGGTGCCGCTGTGGACGCGGCCGCGTGCGGCACTTGCTGCGCCGTGCACTGACGAGGCGAGATTGCCGCTGCAGCCCGGTGACGTCATTAGAGCCACGCGGCAGAAGAAGTAAGTACTTACTCCCATCGAGTTTACGTTGCTCACTGTAAAGTCTGTGGCTCTAGTGAAACGGGGTACAAGTAAAAAAAGCCAACTTAACAAGGAAACGCGAAAATCACTAACGTTAAGCTTTAACTGTTCGCGTCTTTTTTTTTTATAATATCAAGTAACAAGATGAACAAGTCGTGCGCCTGATGGTAAGCTACACGCCTGTCCATAACAGTTGCAGTGCCACTCGGAGCTTTAAGTCGCAAAAATCTAAGGGGCACTGCCACTGGGCCCGTCACTCTGAGACATAAGTTGACAAGTCCCATGTGCCTGTAATTTCACCAGCACCCCTACCCTTCAAAATCGGAATACAGTAATGCTGATATTACTGCTTGGCGGCAGAGATAGGTAAGGTGGCAGTACTACCTTGGACGAACTCTTTCACAAGGAGCTCTACTGCTACTAATCGGTTCACAACTGCCTCCGTGGCCGAACGGTTACCATGCCGGACTGCCACGCAGAGGTACTAGGTTCGATTCCCGGGCCGGGAGAAATATTTGTATGGCCTATATTTATTTCTCTCGTGAGTTTGGGTGTAATTTGTGTTTGTCTAAGTATGTGTCCATGGCACCCGCGACACAGGGTTTCTCCAATGCGGGGCTATGTTGAGTGTGTGCGTTATTATAACTGCTGGAGTAATCGCGTAACGTACATAAAAAATACAGTCGAGTTGAGAACCTCCTCCTTTTTTGAAGTCGGTTAAAAACAAAATATATTTTGAATTTTCTAAAACTGAACTATGTCCATAGACATTGGCTGTTCGGCGAGAAGCTACTCGGCGGCGGCGACGGGTGCCGCGGCCCACGTGGCTGGTTCCCGCGCGACTCCGTCGTGCCCACAGACAAGCTCAAGAACAACTAATCCGTGCTTATTGCCATGTGTTACGGTATTTGAATCACTCTATTTTTCCTGCAATCAACGTGCTAAAAATGTATATGAAAATCGTAGTTCGATATCTGAACTAGACACCAGAGTTGATGTCATTGTGGGGGATTAGGGTTGTGACGTCACAGACAAGTATAGCCAGTTTTTTCTGAATGAATTTTTAATGAATTTTTTACAACCCATTTATGCATACATATGTTGTAATGCGAATAAAAAAACGTATAATGTTTCGAAAATCCTATTTATACATTTTTTTTAGGAATTGTAAAAAACTGCCAAAATATATTATATAGTTGCAATATCGGTTACCAGAGGGGGCTCGTGGAAGATTAGACTGGGAGTTCACTTACCTATACATATTTGAAATGAAAAATGAAACACTTCAGATTGTTCCATTTGAAACAATGCCACTAAACAATCAGATCAAAATTCATATCAGAAATCAGAAACATTTATTGTGTGAATTGGTAAAATACAAGTGATTAGATCCACAATTCTTACCCAAGTCAGGCGTACAATGTCTTAAAATTACAATTCACTTAAAATTTATTACAACTTAAATGTCAAAATTAAAATTATAATTAAGTTTGTTTTTTATTGTTTGACAATTGTCAAATATTTGACGTCTTTATATAAAATTCGTTAAAATTATGAAAAACTGTCAGTTAACCCTTTTTTTAAACAAGTTTTAAATTTATCACCATTTAAACATTTCATTTCCATTGGAAGTCTGTTATAAATTCTGATCGCTGTTACATAAGTGCTGCGATCAAAGATGCTTTTTCTCTTTCGCACTCATTGAATTCAGTACTGAAATTTGTAAACAACGTCGGTTCATAGGAGCGCATCGCGGATCACTCCACTACAGGCTTAGTAAGGCTATACTATATTAGAGAGAAAGATAAAAATCTAATTGTATGTTTGTCGTTCATTAATAATAATAAAAAATATACTGCGGCTACTAATATAATATGAAAACTTAATTTACAATTTACAATTTTTCATGGGTTGGATAGGAGTGGGACTTTACAGCACAAGTGAGCCTCCTCTGTCGGTTACTATTTGGTGTTCGGCTTACTCGGCATGTTTTTTGCTATTCCTGGGACGGGAGAAATATTCGTAAGGCCTACATTTATTTCTCTCATGAGTTTGGATGTAATTTGTGGTTGTCTATGGCACCCACGATACAGGGTTCCCTAGTGCGGGGCTATGAGTGTGTGTAATGTAACTGTGTTTTTCGGATCTAAATTGCGGATATTTGTTTTTTCACACAAACTAACTTTTCGAGCCCTTTACGGGTTCCATGGATTCCACGCAATTTAGATTTGAAAAAATAGTTTCATATCATATTAATAGATATATCTATGGTACAATCATTGTCACTAACCGGTTGCCACGAAAGTATTTGAAATACCAATTATAATGTACAGTTAACAGTACGTCAAGCTATACATTTTTATGATTATCACTGATTGCAGGTTTCTTACCACGATATGATTTCTTTTTATTTTCCCCGTATTTCCGAACAGTGACATGCTTTATGGTCACGGGTTGAAGAAATCATATCGTGGTAAGAAACATCTAATTAGTGAATAACCACGAAAGCCTTTAAAATCCATAAACTTTTGTTCCAATATCGCCTCCAGAACAACGGAATGAGATCCGTTAATGTTTAGCTTGATTTGCCGCCGTTTGTTCGTTAACGTCAGAGGGACTGTTCCCGTTCCCCGTCCGACATTCGTCCGAAACAAATACTGACAAATAAGTACAAATACTCGACCTAATTAAAAAACGCATGATTATTATGAAGCAAGCATTCAGTTTCGGACTTCATGTCATGTAGCTTAGTTTATTAAATTGTCAATATTGAATTGTCAATTGGTTTTGTTGATGAATGGATATAAGGAACACAACCACATCGCTTAACTGCAGAGTGGAAGCCTGGTGACCCGCAATTCAGGTTTGACCAATTACACACAAAACAGTCTGACCAATTTTTAGATTTATTGTATTAACCTTAAGTCCCCTACTCTTAAGCCCTTTTTGTCATTGAGAAATAAAACATCATTTAATTTTATTTCAAAGAAATGCATGTCGGATGTTTATAACAGGCACATTGGGCCTGCTTGAAGGCTTAACTTAGTGCACTAAAATTTCTCCTTAAGGGTTAATTTATATTGTCGCGAGACGGAATGACGCGAGCTTTTGTAACCATAGCATAATGAACATTCATCATGTCAGCCGGAAGACGTCCACTGCTGAACATAGGCCTCCCTCAAAGATTTCCAGACCAGCCGATCGGACGCGACATGCATCCATCGGTTACCCGCCGAACTTTATGTCAATTATATTTAATTCTTTTTATAATATCAAGTGACGAGACGAATAAGTCGTGCGCCTGATGATAACCCTCACGCCTGTCCATAACAGTTGCAGTGCCACTCAGAGCTTTAAATCGCAAAGATCTGGGGGGCACTGCCACTGCGCCCATCATCCTGAGACATAATTTGACAAGTCACATGTGCTTGTAATTTCACCAGCACCCTTACCCTGCAAACCGGACCGCAGTAATGCTCCCATTACTGCTTGGCGGCAGAAATAGGTATGGTCGCCATTGTCTTTTGATTTGCTCGAGTGTTACTTATTTGACAGAAATTGTTTCGGGCGAATATCGGACGAAGAACGGAAATGTTTGAAATATCAATTACAAAGTATATATTTGGTTGTAATTGAATGTGTTACAATTTCAAAATACGTATTTGAATTCAAATACCGCCCAAATAATCTTGCTGATGTAGCATTCCAGAACGAACGTGACATTGTTGCGGTCCTTTCAATTGTTTTTCTTGCAATAAAATTGTTTAAAAAGAATTAACAGGTAAATATAGTATAATTATATCACTAATATATTGTTAGATTTAGAACTTCAGCTGTAATGATATAGAATCTGTTCAATGTTAGACTTGGGTTAAGACGTAAATTGTTAGGTTATGAAAACAGACTCAATTAGTTTAATGTGAAACCTTTGCCCGCCGTGGATTTACCAGTGAATTGTGTACAGTCGATGCCGTAAGATACCCGACCTCCAACCGACCATTTGATACTGATAATTATCTAAGGTGCGAAGAAAAGTGAAACGAACTTTTAACTTGTGAGCTGTAAAATTAATTTTGGCGTGACTTCCAGATTGCTCAGTAGTTAATGACGTTTTAAGAGACACTTTAAGTCAATTTGATCTTTAATGTATATGTACTTAAATGCAGAAAGTTACCGAAACGCAAATGTTTTAGTTAAGTCAAGGGGGCAGTATTGTACTTAAAGTTAATAATGTCAGTACACAGTACTAAAAAACCGACCTCAAAGTTCATGGAATTACTAGTTTACTACGCTAAGAGGTGGAATATTTTCTTTAAATTTAAATGGGACTAATACTGAGGTACCTCCTTTCCAACAAAAAGAATTCAAAATCGGTTCACAAATGCTGGAGTAATCGTGTAACATACACACAAACAAATGCAGTCGAATTAATAACTTAATCCTTTTTTCAAGTCGGTTAAACATTCAACCATAAAGAAGTTCGTAAGAAAGCTCTCAATACCAAAAAGGTTGACTAGGGGGTCAGATATCTGAGGGCACCGTCTGTACATTGCACAAAATAGTTAATGGTAAATGTGGTGATATGTTACTGTACAGAATGCACAAGGGTGCTAACTCGTTCAGTTCACTGACCTAAATTATTTGTTACAAAGCTTTTGTAAAAAATAATGGTTCTGCAAATACTCCAGTTTTCCTAATGTGTAGAACATAATAATGTAATACTTATTTGTTGTAACCTTAATATATCCGTAATAGTCTTCCTGCTTTCAAAGAGTCTGTCGTTCAATAACTCATTTGATAAAGACATTTTTCTATTTCAAAATTTTTCTTTATTTTTAGTTTTAAAAATCATAATTGGAAAAAATTCTAATTACAGAATAGTTTTTAAGTTCTTATTGTATTTTATATGTTGGTAGAAAAAATACGCAATGCACTCATATTGTGCCATTGCCTATACTTACTATCTACCTGCTATCTAGGCAGTAAGTATGAATAGCTATTAAAAACTTAATTCTTTTATTCATAAATCATATGCATCAATAGGTACTTTGCAAACTTTCTAATAATTGGCCATGAGTATTACTCTCTCTACTCTACATATCCCAATTACCTATTTAAATTCCAATTTCGTGAGCAGAACGTGGAAAGCAAGCCTCAATAATGACCATTGACAAGAAATGTTCTTTTCCTATGCTATCATTGGTTGCTTAGCAAGGGTTTGTTATTAATCATTCTACGTCGAATGTGGTGTTTGTGTAATAAGTCCACGTAAATTTCCAACTAAAGGTCATGGCCCACCAATACATGAATACAATACCCACGGTATACAGAAATGATATATGGCTGGATTTATAGAGAAATATGTGTACTTTACAATGGTACGTGCCGCGTTACTGTGGGCACTGGGAATCAAGGAATTAAAAAAATTATAATTTTATGTTAGTGCAAAATATTTGACTATTTTGTAATCACTGTTAATCACCCAGTTAACGATTTTGAGATTTCGTGAGATATGTATACGTGCACGCCATACTAGTCTAAAAACACAATAGAAACTCGGTAAACGCACAGGTCGCAACGACAAATGACGAAGGATTGCGAAGGGTCTGTGCGACAGAGACAGCATATAACTGACAGTGCAATGTTTGCGCGTGGTTGTAACGATATTTATTTTGACAGTTAGTCTGAACTACAAATACCTAATCAGAGTTTTCATACAATTAAAAATATGTTTAATATGAAATGTTTATTGCCCCGTTACATGTCAACACAACAAAAGGTGGTTTATAACTGCATAATTTAAAAAAAAGTGTGGTTTTTGTACGCAAACTTCCATTAATCGGGTCAAATTATGGGCCATCTCCTTTATTATTATACCAAAAAGTATAAACCTTAGACGATGTGACCTCCTTACATCGTCATCCCACCTTTTTATCGCCTTTTCTCCGGCTCAAGCGAGCAGTCCCACTGCAGAAATTAGAATGGCGAGGCAAAGGAATTAAAGAACGATTCAAAATTTAAAAACGAGTGGCTAGGAACCGGAGAAAAGGCGATAAAAAGGTGGAATGACGATGTAAGGAGGTCACATCGTCACAGACCTGTTTGCAATGACTGACGATAGTACATATATATGTTTAATCCACTATATCTGTCATAGCATTACATTGAGTCCTGAAATGTTATAATCAATACATGTTTATAGGATTTTGAATGTAAAACTACCGTGAAACTCAGACATATTAACTAAACTAACGGATAGCTCACGTATTTTTGTGATGAATTTTTTCTCGACATGCTTCGAACCAGGGTTGTTGCGAATATCAGCATCTGCGGATATCTGCATAAATTAAAATATCCGCATCAGCATCCGCACTAATCGATGCTGATAGTTATTGTGGGTGTTCGAGTCGTGACATGACCTGAAAGGCACGCTGCTGG